TCCAATATTCCTGGTGTTGGTTCATTTTCTTTTTCTTTTCTTTCTTCTCTGGTGAATCCAAATGTAGATCCCTCTGTTCCAGTGTTAGGAACTGATGTTCAGTTACATTATATAAATAAAAATAAAAACTTAATATATGATCATGTCTGTCACATTCCTGATGTTCAGATTTTGACTACAGTTACATTATTTAAATTAAAAAATAAACTGATGTCTATGTCACATCGTTGCCCCTGTATCGTGATATGTACTGTATCGCCAGATTCTTGCCCCTTGTTTGGCCCGTTGACCCCTGACCCTGAATATAGTCACACATACAAACCCTGGCTCACAGGACGAGGGATGATCAGTGATTAAAGTTCTCTCTCTCTTTCTATCTTTTTCTACTTCAGACAGAAATCTCCAGAGTGTTCCAGTGACGAGGAGCTAATGATGAAAAAGCGTGACGTCGACGTCGCTCTGACGTCTACACAGACCTCACAGACTGACGAGGTGTCGAAAACCTCTCGTCTCTCCTACAAGAAGTCCCTGCGTCTGTCCTCTGACCAGATAGTAAGACCAACCACCAATGACCAACAGCTTAGGTCCAGCACGGCACCTTCACTCCTGACCACCAATGACCAACAGCTTAGGTCCAACACGGCACCATCACTCCTGCCCCTCCTGAAGGAAATACACTCTCTGTATTAACATTCTGTCCTCAGGCCAAACTGAAGCTGCGAGACGGAGCCAACGACGTCACCTTCAGTATCACCACCCAGTACCAGGGGACGTGTCGCTGCCAAGGCACCATCTACCTGTGGAGCTGGGAGGACAAGGTGATCATCTCCGACATCGACGGCACCATCACCAAGTACGGACACAGTCACGGTCAAACACGACCAGCGTCGGATGTTCTCCTCCACCCTAACCCTGTCTCTCTGGTCTCTCAGGTCAGACGTGTTCGGTCACATCCTGCCTCACCTGGGTAAGGCCTGGACTCACCCGGGCATCGCCAAGCTCTACCACTCGGTGCACCAGTACGACTCTTTGGTTTGTGTTGGGTCTTCATCAGTGTTTCAGTCTCCAGTGCAGTGACTCTGAACGTCTGCCTCCGCCAGGAACGGATACAAGTTCCTCTACTGCTCCGCCCGAGCCATCGGCATGGCAGCCATGACGCGGGGGTATCTGCAGTGGGTGCAGGACGGGGGGACGCTCCTGCCTCGAGGACCCCTGCTGCTGTCCCCCAGCAGCCTCTTCTCTGCCTTCCACAGGTGGGAGACCCCCTCGTGTTTGAGCCAAAATTCTGATGCAATGTCCGTGTTCTGATGCAACTTTTTGGAGCGGCTGCAGCACAGCTGCAGGACGTTAGTGAGTTTACTGTACTGTAGTTTCTTCACTACAACATTTTCCATCGAGTTACTCAAGCGTCTATTTTCAGATGTGTTCTGAATAATCCTGCTTTGTCTTTTGTTCACTCTGCCTGGACCTGGAACTGGACTGATTTTCACATCGTCCTGATTGACTTTAGCCCCAACGTCCAAACTGATACGCGAACGCAAACACGGAGGTCGCGTCTAAACTGTAATGTGAACGAGTCCTGCAGTCTGGGCTCAGCCTTGACCCCTGGACTGATGCCAGTTCAGAGCTGATCCTATTGGCTGATTGATCCTGATATAAACTGTATGGTTTTTATCGTTCTAATTCAGAGAAGAGGGAATTGAACCTTGTTTCTACGTAAGACACAGGGGTCCAGTCTCTGTTCCAGTTTTTGTTGCAAAACCAGTATTTTTACAAGTATTTTTTATGCGACTCCAGAGACGTAAATATTTTTTTACTAGCAACACAACGTCTACAGTACTATAAAAAAAACAACTGTGTTCTATTTTATATCCTTTTGGCGTGAACCTCATAAAGGTCAGTGAAAGGTCAGGCATCGTTTCCACCTCGATTTCTGAAGACGTTTGGTTCACTGTAAATGAAATAATCTTTATTAACTTTATTGTTTCAGAACAGAATGGACCAGTGGTTAATGATTGATTGTTTTTTTTTATGTCTTGTTAGAGAAGTCATAGAGAAGAAACCAGAGAAGTTCAAGATGGAGTGTCTCACCGACATCAAGAACCTCTTCCTCCCAAACGCCGCTCCCTTCTACGCCGCCTTTGGCAACAGGCCGAGTGTGAGTGACGCGGTGGCGTACGGACTGTTCACCGGTCGTACCAGCTGACCGCCAACCTCACTGTCCTCGTGTGTCGTTTCCTGTTTCCCAGGACGTCTCCGCCTACAAGCACGTGGGCGTGCCCGAGTGTCGGATCTTCACGGTGAATCCTAAAGGGGAGTTGATGCTGGAGCAGGCCCGAGTCAACAAGACCTCGTAAGTGACGCAGCGTCCGCTGGTTTTTTAAATTTTTTTATTTATTTATTTTTGTTCTCACAAAAGTATTTATAACCCCCCCTCCCTCTCCCCTTTTACTGTTTTTAAAGCTACAGCCGACTGAGTGAGCTGGTGGAGCACGTTTTTCCGCTGCGGAACTCGCAGCACAGCGCCACCTTCAGCTGCCCAGAGTTCAGCTCCTTCTGCTACTGGAGACAGCCAATCGCTGAGGTCTGCTGTGACGAGGTGCTCTGAAGTTATCACAACCAGGATCACCAAGGTTTTTAGATTTGTATATATGTATGTATATGTATTAACATATATTTATATGTATGTTTATACACAGACACAGACTGAAGGAAAACAGCTGTATATAAACATATATACAGCTGTTTTCTCCTGTGTTGTTTCAAAGACCCCAGTTTTGGACAAGTCTGCAAAGGAATGTTTAATATAATTAATATATTGTAACTTGTTAAAGTGTAAACGCTGTTAGCGTAGCATCCTGAACATTTCATCATCGTTCAGGACGTTCTCCTTTGTTCCAATGATTAAAAACATTGGAGATTTCTTTTTTAAATTTTGTTCTAATTGTCCTCGCCATCAGTGACATCATCACTGTCCTGAGCAGACTTGACCAATCACATTTATGTGTATTTGTGGACTTTGACCTCTGACCTGGTCAAGTCCATGTGTGTTTTTATACTGCTCTGTGGTGACCTCAGTTTGGAACAGCCTAAATCACTGTTGACTAATGTTGACCGTAAACATTTCAACGGTTTCTAAGAGACTGCATGGATATTTGAGCGTTTTCCCAAATGAGATTTAGAGAAAAAAAAAAAAAACTTTCTTCTTTCCGTGAAAGAGTTAAAACTCTCACACTCCCATCTGCTGCTGCAGTGTTGGCTGTTTCTGACTGTTGTCATTACGGTGTAGTCGAGCTCCTGACGTTATGACTGAAGAATCTCAGCACAAATTAATTCAACAATTCAATTCTAATTTGGTCAAGTTTTTACTTCCACACTTTCAGTCTGTAGTGTAGACTGCACACTTCAGGAGTACCCCCCCCCCCCCCCCCCCCCCCCCCCCCCCCCTCAGTAGGGTGGGTTGTGGGGGGGGGGGGGGGGGGGGGGCAACACACAAAGCTTTTGTTTTTGAAACAAGTTTGACGTCTTTAAAATGTTTTGTTCCAGTTGAGGATGAAAAACTTTCAGCCTCAGCAAACAAGTCGGATGTCCACATCCGACTTGTTTGCTGAGGCTGAAAGTTTTTGTCGGATGTCAGTGGACATCCGACAAACTTGGATCGATCTGATCCAGTTTGTTCCAATTTAACAAACAAATCGGATGTCCGCTGACATCCGACTTGTTTGCTAAATTGGAACAAACTTGGATCAGATTGGATCAGTGACATCCGACATGTCGGATGTCAGTGGGCATCCGACAAGTATGTTTATCAGGAAGCAACAGATGAAGGAAACGGGCATCACTGCAGGTGTTGTCTTCAAACAAAATATATTTTTTTATAAAAGTCTTAAACTGTAGACAAAACTGGACAATGAAATAATGTCACTAAATACAATCCTATATATTAAAACCTGTTATAGAAACATGGACGTTTTGGTCGTTTGTTTTTACCTCTTCAAACAATAAAGTATACCTCTAGCATTCGTCGTCGCCTCCATGATGTAAAGTACTCCAAAGTACTGCAGTAGTAGTCTCTGGGGGGGTTTGGGGGGGGGCAGCAGGGCTACCGCTGTGACGCACTGGGGTAAAGAAGAGCTGCGCTGAAGGAAGACAGTACCTCAGAGGACGAGGACGGAGCGGCCAGCTGTCCTGACGTCAGGACCAGTCCCACGGTGTCTCCACGCCTCAGCGCCAGGACCAGGCTGAGGGACGGGGCGCCGCCGCAGCTGCACTGCTGCTGTGGGAACGATGGCGCCGCCCCGGAGGAGAATCCTGAGGAGTCCAGTCTCTGGACGCTGTGACCGGACACCGAGAGGACGGCCTCCGCTTTCTCGCCGCGTGGCGCCGCCAGGACGGCACTCACCATGTAGCGTCCGTCCGTGGGGGCCGTGAAGACACCTGAGGACGTGAGGGGACACGGGTCAGCTGAGGAATGGGAATTTTTGGATCAAGAGTCAAACATTCACCCTCTGTTTTTAATGTAGAAAAATGAGAAAAAAAACCCACAGTACCTGGACTCCTGGGTTTTGTGAAGTTTTAAAAATATATATTTTGATCCTAATAAACTGTGGGTTGAGTTCAATTTTAGTTTCATAATAATCTATAATCACGATGTGTTTGTGTGGAGAACCGACCTGTGCTGGGATCGTAGTGTCCTCCGTCGTTCACCAGAACCTTGTCGAACCGAATGGTCCCGATCTCCCCCGGGGTCGGTGGAACGGTCAGACCGGCGGAGAACGACACCTCCTGACCTGAGAACCAGATAAAGAGAAGATCAGGATGGTTGCCAGGTCTGCTTCTTCACTAGAAATGACTTTTGTTTTGTTTTTTTGTTTTCCTGAAAATATCAATATCTGCAGCTGAGCAGGAGTTTAAAAAAATTCTGGTTCAATCCAGTTTACACAGATGAAGGCGTCCATGACCCGCCCACTCTTCTGATTGGCTTAGCCAGGTTAGTACTCACTGCCTTTTGCCAAACTTTCTCTCGTGAGATCTGGCAACCCTGAACATCACACACCTAAATATAACGTAATCTTCATCTCTGTTCAGTTCCATCCTGATCTCTTGGTCTCACTTTAGTTCTGTCCTTTTTGGACCACGTTTTCTTGACTGAGGTCAGGCTGAGGACGACATGTGGCAGAAAGCTGGCAAACAGCGTAGACGACCACCCAG